ATTAAACGTACAAAGCAAACGACATTTCAACACATTTCAGGGACGGGAAGCAGAAGGCTGCAGACAAAAGCGAGGGCTGTAAACAAAGTATGAATATAAATAAATATAATCATATTTTTTGTATGCCTATCATGTCTTTCAGTTTAAAAAAAAAATGCTTTAGTTTATTTTGGACTTTTAAATGAATAAAAAAAACATTTAATTTAATCCTTTAAAAAAATGAATATTTTTTATTTGACTCTTGTTAAATGGTTAATTATTTTTGAACTTTAGTTTTCTGGTTGATCTGTATAAATAAAAAATAAAACCCATGAATATCTTTAAAAGGAGACTTAAAGGGGGACCTCATTAATTTAATATTTCAACATCTAACCTATGGTTATAAATGTGTTTTAATCAAATTCTTTTTGAATGACCCTCGTTCTGGCGTCCAGGCATTTGTCCATTTGGCTTCTCTCTGGCTTCTTAGGGCCCGGCGGTCATTGCGGCTCAGTCCGGCTCTCTGTGGCCTTCACACAGGCAAAAGACAGCCAAAGAGGTCCTGGAAGGACGCAGGATGCAGGATGCAGGAGGGCGGTGTTGTCAGTAACCTGCGAGCAAAACATTGTAAATAAAATGCAGCAGGATTGCGGAAGGGGAGGAAGTTGAGTTCCGTGTCTGGCTTGCTGACCTGCGGCGCTTTTGTGTTAATTGCGGTTGCATTTAATTACAGTTCGTTGCAACTGGCCAGCTTTCCCGCCTTCTCTTTCTCTCACTGCATAACTGGGCTGCATTGCATTTCCCCCATCTTCCCCACACATTTCCCTCAAACCAAGCCAATACCTGGGCTAAGCTTTTAATTAAAATTAAAAATATTTGGTCTACTTTGGCAGCTTTACTTCTGAACTGTTTGGATAAGCTGGCCATAAACCAAGTTTGATTATTGTGTGTGTGTGTGTGTTTATAAGCCAATCGTAATAAACCCCAAGTGCACAACATCAAAGGTAAAGTAATGCCAGGTTTATTGAACAAGTTTAAATTCGAAATTTATTTGTAGACCTCAATGATGTCCACAATGCTCACATAAGTACCCACAACACCACCGAACACTCCAAAGCACAAAAGCAGCAGATTGATGATCAATTTTATACGGAGTGGTCCATAGCCCTCGGTATATTGCACGCATATCTGGAGCAAAGCTGGAAAGATGAGGCCCAGGATCGACAGGCAAAAGGATCCCACCAGAGAAAGGAATACAGATAAATCCGGAATAGCAACAGCACAGGCAACTGAAAAAAGATATCCAATTTATTTATTGTACAATTTTCTGTATTATTTTTCATAAACTTTATGTAAATTTCAATGTCAACAAAAAAACCAGCAATGAAATATTCTTGAGAACTATACCCCAATTAATTGTCTATTGATATGAAGAGAAAACCGATTTTTAGTTCTTAAAATTGAAAGTAAATAAGGAAACCCTACTTAAATTAAATATAAATTATGTCAGCGTTTAATTATCCAATATTCTACTTACAAGTCAGCAGCACAATAATAGCTCTAAAGATCAGTTCATATAGTGTCTGCCTGGTTTCCTTAAAATGCTTGGACAGGTATTTACTCCACAGGATATGGGCAGTTACATAACCCTGCAAGGCATAGGAAATCCAGGTAGTGATGGCAAAGAATACTTTAACCACCTGAGCGGGTCTGAAAAGTGAATTTAAATTGAATAACCAATTTAATTAGAAAACATTCCAATAAAACTAAAAACTCACATATCAGACTGTGGAATATTTAGAGTAATACTGCCCAAAGCCTCTTCGCCATATTTCCAGTATCCAAAGAACCCAAGGAGTACATATAGCCCCAGTACTATTGACATACCACCATTCATAATTCCACAGGGGCGCACGAAGGCCCTGGGCGTGGCCATATTTTCCTCAATCGCTAATATCTTTAATAGAAAACATTGGATTACTTTTCCTAGTTTTAATATTTAAATTAATTTATAATCATACCACACCCACTGCTTCCAATGCAAAAAGTACTGTGCCAAAGAAAGTTGGTAACTTTGTGACGGCCACGAAAGGTTCTCGTTCACTTAAAGGAGGTAAGTCCTCAAATATATAGTACAAAATTATACCAAAGCCTGAAAAATGTAAGAAAATAAATTAAAACAGTTTAAGCATAAATAAAAAAACAAACAATTCCTTAGTTAATAAATCCGAATACCTTTTGTGTTCTAATATTATTATTTGCTCAATTTGCATTCTATTTAATGTATTAAAATAAACTTACCCACGAGCAAAAGAAGATTTGCAGCACTGGAAAAAGGTGCTAGTAATTTTAAATTCTTGATGCTGTATATCAGCAGAAGTGGAACTATTATTATGCACATGTATATTCGGACATCCCACTGCACTCCACTCCACTCATCCACCAACTGCTTTATGCTTTCAGCTATGAAAACCACATAGACGCAGCAGATGCCGAAATGATAAAAGGCCAGGAAACCATCTACAAAGGGTCTGAGAAAAAAAAAGAATTTTAGGTTTATTCAGTTTCTTTTAAATAAACTAAACATTTATTTATTTAAATAAATATGAATTTTGATTTCTTTTTCTGGCTGATATAAGAGAAATTAGGTTATAAATTCGAGCTATAGCTATTAGAACGCAAAAGGAGGTCACTAAACCCTTATCGTCAGCTCCCAAAAGAAACGGTTTGATTAAACAAAGCTACTGAAATAATTGGGTTACCAATTACCATGATCGTCAACCAATTATAGCTAACCAAGTCAATTCTTAATTTATGTTTATAGAACCATGTGAACAACAAAGTAATTCATATATATAAGATATTATTACAAGGCATATACATATATATGTAATCTCGTAATTGAAATCGACTGATTAAATACAAGATAAGATTTGTTTTGTCCAATAATCAAGTCATTAAAAAATACTTACAAAGATAGTAAATGCAGCGTGGAGATTGCAAAATTGGGAATTTACAGATAGTACAATAGTTTTCCAGAATTACTCTACTCACATTGAAATAGGGGCTAAACAACGCAGCCAGGGTGGACCCTGTTTGAGGCCCAGATTCATCGCCTGGGAAAAGCTGACATAGGGAACTCGTTGTCGTTTGCACAATGTATACATGCAACTGATCTGTGAAAATAGATATTAATATTAAGTAACTTAATATTGTTATTTAATCTTAAACCCACCAAAATATGCAGGCAATACAGGGCCAGAGACCCGATGATCAGTGTAAGAATGGTGCCGTTTACATATCCCGCATTCGCAAATGCACTGGGCATGGCCAAAACTCCTGTGCCCACAGAAGCCTTCAGAAAATGAGCAAAGGTTTGCCAGTTTCTGGGGGAAAATAAAACAGTAGAATTTTCCATAAATTCTCCACAATGAAAAATCCTAAACTTACGTCGTGGGATTTTTCACATTGCGGTGCTGATGAGGATCATAATCATCGTTACTGCCATTCGCTGGTTTCGTTGGAGTCGTTAATTCCAATGTTGTCGGGTAAACCGTCACAGTTTTTATATCGGCGCTATCAAAGAGGCAATAAAAAATTGTTTTTGAGGTGAATTGATTGATTAATAAATGGAACGAGTCTTAAAAAGTATAAACCCCAAGGAGGAAACTTGGTAAAAAATGTTATCCAAAAAAAATGTCGTAAAAAACATTTTTAACCGGGTTTTAATTAGGGTAAATGTTTTGTCATATATTGTCATTGCGCGTCGGTTAGCTAATTTTTTTACGATCTCAAGATCAGGAGAACACGAAGACGACTCACTTCATAGCGATAAAGTAGCGACCGAGTATTTGATAAAGCTACTTGTGCTCGGGTTTATAAATCTTTTATCACACGCAATTAAACCACCGGGAGACAAGATCTTTTTGCGATTGCGAATTCCTGGCGCAACCAGATTTCGAAGGGAACTGCTTTCTTGGGGAAGCAACCGAATGCCTGGCCCAACGGACGGATACTAAATTTCGGATCCCGGTCGAAGCCGCTCAACACCTCTCGTTCGTAAACCTTGCTGATAATCTTAAAAAGATAATTGTACGATAATCAGCCGTACCAAAATTCTTTGCTGGGAATTTCGGGAAACGAAACGCAGCAAAACGAAATATATGCCAAAATAATGTGTGCACTTTTTATTATAAGCAAATACATTAAAAAGTAAAAAAAAACTTAAGCCCGAATACAGACCTTAACCAGTTTGGTGATCGTTTTTGAACCTCCCGAAAAGTTCATCAATTAATAATTAACAAATTATTTACCTTATATATTATAGCGAAAGTTTAGATTAGACCAACACCAAATGTAAACCGATTTTCACACACAAAATTGAAAGCTTTTCTTGTATTTTACTTTACACCGCCATCACCGTTTGTGGTCTTGGTATTAATTTTGGTAACAGCTTGATGTATTTTTGTCAATTAAACCACAGTGCGGATGCGTAATGTAGATAATTGTATTTCATAGGAATATAAGATACAGTTGTTGAACACTTTACATTTAAAAATAAATAATAAAACTACATATAGAAACCATCATTTGTTGTATTTAAATTTATAACAATTATTTTACAAACAAATTTTGGCAACAGCTCAATGTATTTTTTGAGTCTACAGTGCGGATGCGTAATGTATATAATTGTAATTGATAGGAATAGAAGATGAAATTGTTGCTGTTTAAATTTAAAAATAAATAATATATTATAATAAGTATCGAAACCATAATTTGTATTATTAACATCTATAACTATTATTTTTATTATTTAGGGTGCAAAATATATCATTAAAAGTGGGGAGTGAAAAATACTTCCGTAATCCTTCACAATGAAATTATTGTCCTTAAAATGTATTTTTTTAATATTTGTATGATTTAAAAACCCTTATGATATTAGTAAAGCCCCCGATTGTTTTTATTTTTTGTTTTCTCCAACTTGGTAGCCTTTGAAAATTACATCCCATTAAATGTTTGATAGTAAACACCCAAAATAAATTAATGTTAGAAAAGGCGGCACTCGATCATGTCAAAAAGACTATTTCGTCCTATAATCCAGCCCGTGATCCTTCGCCGGCTATGTGATAAGCCCAAGCTGAGCAGCAAGCCGTCGAACACCCCACATCCTCCGAAGGATCCTCCCGATGAGGGTTACAACCCATCCAGTGTGGATCACAATGCCATAGATGTGCCCGCTTTCGTGAGTCCTTCGTCCTTTCGCCAGTTTAGTTCACCCGATGAGACGTTGGGGCCGGGAGCTGGAAAAGCTTTGGAATACAAAAATCCACTATACTTTGGCTATCATCGATTCTCGTTTATGGATCTATTGACCACGGCCACGGAGCTGCGCGACGAACGTCGTTTGGATGGAGGGCTGCAGGCATCCATAGAAGCTGATGAAGAAACCATCCCTGAGGAGTCCGAATTGGAGACCATGAAGGAACTGGAAGTCGAGTGTGATGCAATACTTGAGGCTCAGGCCAAGCAAATCGAGAAGGACAAGAAGGAGAAGAGTATTCAGGATATGAGCGAAGAGGAGTTGGAGGAGTGGTGCAAGAAAAAGGAAGAAGACATTAAAAAGAAGGAGCAGCAAAAGAAGGAAGGCGAAAAGCCCCAAAAGAAGCTCGAGGATATGAGCGAAGAAGAATTGAAGGCTTGGTGTGAGAAGAGAGAAGCGGACATAAAAGCAAAAGAGGAAAAAAAACGCGCCGAAGAAAAGGCGAAATGTGACGCAGAAGAGAAGAAAAAGAATACCGAGGCCAAAAAGAAATACGAGGAGGAAGAAAAAAAGAAAAAGGCAGAGGAAACTAAAAAGAAGCGTGACGAAGTAGAGAAAAAGAAAAATGAAGAGGCCAATAGAAAATGTCAGGAAGAAAAGATAAAAAAAGAAGCCGAGGCTAAGAAAAAGTCTCAGGAAGAACAACAAAGGAAAAAGTGTGAGGAAGAAGAACGGAAGAAAAAGTGTGAAGAAGAAGAAAAAAAGAAAAAGTGTGAGGAAGAAGCAAGGAAGAAAGAGTGTGAGGAACAAGAAAGGAAGAAAAAGTGTGAGGGAGAAGAAATGAAGAGGTGTAAGGAAGAAGAAAAAAAGAAAAAGTGTGAGGAAGAAGAAATGAAAAAGAGGTGTGAGGAAGAAGAAAAGAAGAAAAAGTGTGAAGAAGAAGAAAAGAAGAAAAAGTGTGAAGAAGAACAAATGAAGAAAAAGTGTGAGGAAGAAGCAATGAAAAAAAAATGTATGGAAGAACAATTGAAGAAAAAGTGTGAGGAAGAAGAATTAAAGAAAAAGTTTGAGGAGGAAGAGAAGAAAAAATGCGAAGAGGACAAGAAGAAGGGCGATAAATGCGTAGGGGAGAATACTGCAAAATCTGATGAAGAAAAATCGGTCTTGCGTGTTTTTAAAGAGTTTAAGCTAAAGTGCATGGACGCTTTGGAAAAAAAGGAATGTGAAGACAAAAAGAAAAAAGAGTCAGAGAAAAAGGAAAAATGTGATCCAGATACCAATAAAAAGGATGACAAATAAAAAATATATTTTTATTATAGCTAAATAAATTAAACCTTATAAATAAACTACAAAAATAAACAGAGCCCCATCCGTTATTTATACAATTTTAAAATTCCAAAAAAAAAATGGTATTAAGTTTTGTCAATGAATTTTGAATTTACAACTTTATAATATAAAATAAATCCTATAAAATAAAACAAAAAGTATACGTAAAAAAAATTAATTTGTGTTTCGGTATTTTTAAAGTTGATAAACTTTAACAAAGCTTTTTGAAAAACTGGTATATCTAAGCGGTCTAACGGCGGTCATACTGCCCGTACCGCTCTCTCGAATCGAATCAGTTGTTCGGTGTGCGTGTGTGGAAAAAGTTCAAGTCGACAGAGAGAAACGTGAAATTCCGAAATCGTAAATACGTATTTTGAGTCATTATACCGAGTGGCTATGCAAATTTAGTTGCGGTTCTCCCAAATCATCGAAAAGCCAACAGGTCGCCACTCGACTAAACTAACCGCAATCGGCAAATGAAACGGGCACAACAAAAACTACTGGAGAACCGCTTAACCGGTTTCAAAATTTCCATCATCTCACAGTTTTCTAGCCTATATATTTAAATTGCAGTGGATCAAAACATCAACACTCACACGCGCACCTATAATCGTTAAATATATGCCGATTGTGTGAGTTTGCATGTGGTTCGCGGGAAAAAATAGTTTCGGCCAAGGAAATTAAACAAATAAAAACAAAGCCAGACGCAGATATAACTGTGAAAATATACCAACAAGTCAGCCATGGGTTATTCCATTAAGGTAAGTGCCAATGTCGACAAAAAAATAGGTGAAGAGAAGAGAGAGCCCACGGTGCGTATGTGTGATCTGTAAACCAGTTTTCGGACTTTTACCCATCTTATTTTGTCGGAAAACAAAGATAGTTAAAAGAGACCGGATCAGTGAAAAGTTTCGGTTCTTTTAGGTCTCGTAATTAAGGTATCATAAAATGCCGGGGTAAAACTCAAAAAAACGCAATCTCTGTTAATTACAATACAGCAATAAGCCCACTGTGACTTTACTAAGCCGGAAAAAAGAACGCAATAACCAAATTCATAAACAGAATATTGTGTAGATTATCTAGTCACATTGATTAACTGGCCTTGTTTTTTTTCTGTTCATCAAGCTTATCTGTCTATACAGTCTTTTGTCTGGTACCTAAAATACATTTCGTTGACATTAGCCAACTTTGTCAATAGTAGGCGTCATCATAAAGGTGTCCTGAAATACCCAAATTTATTCGGTGAAAAATTGTACGCCCAATACCCTATATTAAAATATACATAACGCATATCAAGAACCTGATCAAAGCAGGATTATATACATTTTTAGATAATGATTCATACAATTTAGTATTTTTATCAGGTTTAAAAAAACATTACACAAGATTAAATAGTTTATAAACGATCTTTACTAAAGTAGAGGTACTCATCAGGATCAAATAACGATTTTCTTATCTTGTTTGCTATTTAAACAATTTAAATGTTTTTTAAAAAGCCTAAAAGGAGAGGTCAAATATAAATTTTATATATTCGTCCATGCTTATATGTTTGAATAACCCTTAACTGTCTACAAAGTGGGTGGGTAAATATATATAGGTATTTTTAATCAGTCTGAAAGTGGACGCCGACTACCGGCCAGGTAATCTTAACTCAAGTGGGAGTAGACAAGTTATCATGCTACCATGTTTACTTCATACTCATCAAAAGCTTTCTATCTATACTTCATTTTTTTGTTCTCACAGTAGTCATACAACAATTTGGTTTGCTGTGTACGTAATTTTGTAATTTGGACCGTAATTTTGGTAGTTATTTCCCAGAATTTCATATAAAAAAGTGAGTTGTTTAAGACTTGTATTTACATTTTAATTGTTATTAGCTAAACCTCATTAAATAATTACGGGGAGGTATTCTAATACCCTAAAAATAAGGTGTTTTACATATTTTGTATATATGTTTTAAATAAAGTATATATTTACATATAACTCCTTTGAAGTAAATAATACAAGAAAATGTATTTATTTCCGAGTTTTACCACCTATAAAACTATTTTTTTGAATTTAGTGACTCCACAACCTAAGCTTTCAAAAGGAATAATAAAGAATAATGCCAACAAGTTGTCAATATTTAGTAGAATTTAAAATAATTACCTTTCGAAATGTTCTTACAAATAGTTTCGATTTCGCTCAATAACTCAATTTATATGATCAGATTAATTAAGCCTCTTTAAATTATATTTATTCTGATCAAATTATATTTGACACGCAAACCGGTCAGGGCTTATGCAACTCAGAAGTTATTAATGCAACAATTGCAAAAAAAATGTGAAAATTTAGTAAAAAAAGTCTGTAATTGCATGTGCAATTTACAATTTGTTGCTGTCCATATGGCTTAATTGTACGTTAATAGTCGTAGCGGCTGTCGGAGATAAGTAACACCCCGGTTTTCCTTCACCGGCCATATAGTAATGATAAGCGGCGTCTGTCGATTAGCCCGACTTCCAACCGAAGCTGATAAGTAAAACTTGACTTCGCCGCTCTATTTCGCTTTCGATTTTGGAGGGTCTAGAGTTAGTACCGAAGAAACCATGCTGGTGGTAAGAAGTTGGGTGCCTGTTGCAGATTATCTCCGGTGTCGCAAATTCATTACTCATACGCCCGGCTGTCCGATCTTCCGATCTTATCAGAAACGCTGTACGTGATTCTATTTTAGGGCTATACAAAAACATTTCCACTGGCGCTTTGTTTTTTCTAGACTGTTGATAACAATTCAAAACAATAAAAAAAACCAAAAAGAGAAACTAAGAGAAAAAAGAGAGAAAAGTACTCTTGAACAAATTTTTATGAAACTGTATTTATCATCCTATAGCAAAATAGTTATTAGTACTCTTTGAATAGTTTCTGCTCTTTTAGATAGTTAAAAATGGCCAATAGGTAAGTCTAACTTTATCAGCTTGCCTGCTCTTAAAGATTTTTGGAAAGATTTTTACCATATGTAAACCAAAACAAATAAATCAATTTTTGCCCTGTGGCTCCATAAATCTGACTTGCAAATTTTGACCATGTTTAGGTACATAAAGTACGATCACGCCACCATAGAATGTCGTCTGGCTCTCTTTCGCTCTCTTAGACTGTTCTCTTACCCCTATATAATCTGTTCCGATCCAATCTTCTGCAGAATTGCGAAACTGGTGAGTTGGAATACTTCTACACAGATACCGTGCGAGTGAATAGGCCGGCCTACGATGAGGAAACCGGTGAGCCGATCCACGATCAAATCTCGAAGATGCGCTTTCGAAAACACACCAATTTCCATGTACCTAAGCACTTCCTGCGTGGAACCATCTGTGATGAGGTGGACGATGAGCTGGCCAATACGGTGAGGCATGGAGCAGCCACTGTGATTCCCAAAAAGGCGTCCAAGAAGGCAACTCCGGGCTACGAGCGAGAGGACTACTGCCAAATGGATGGCGTTAGCAGCGTAAGTTTTATACAAATGTTTACATTTAATATGAATTTAAATATTATTTTCATAATTTTTATCTTCAATTTTTCTAATTCAATGTTTACAATTTAAAATTGTTATATTTCCCTTTACAGAACATCATTCTGGGCTACTCCCGAAATCATTACCTGCTGTTCCTGGTGCCCACGCTCTTCTGCTACAACTTCTTCATCGGATCCATTTTAGCCATCATCGAGATCGTACTGCACACGATGTCGCACCACAAGAATAGCCTCACGATGCAAAAGGGCCTGTACTTCCGGAGTCCACTTCACGTGCTCTCCTCGCAATTCTGTGCCATTTGCCGCACAGAAAGCGACAGCAAGTACAATCGCATCTTCGACATTCTCAACAAACAAATGCGGAACGCACATCGATCGGCGGCTCTTAAGGATATGGCAAAGGCTATTGCTTAATTGCTAAATTAGTTTCAACACGGTCTTTATATTTTAGTAACAGAAATGGTTTTGTCACACGATCAACAAAAAATAAATGCACTCGTTTATCACTCAAGTGGAGATATTGCAGCTTCTCTGGGCAATCCACATAAAGGGTTCATCAAACCGGAATCTGACCCATCGTCTTGACATTGGGGGACACTGTGAACTTGGCTCCAGTGCTGGCGATGATGTCGTCCACAGTGTAACCTTCGGCCACCTCGATCAGCGTCAGGCCCACTCCCTTTTCCACCTGGAACACGGCCTTTTCGGAAATGATCAGGTCGATCACACCCTTGCCGGTGAGTGGCAAGGAACAGGTCTCCAAAATCTTGGGGGAACCATCGCGGGCATTGTGCTCCATGGTGATGATCACCTTGGTGCCAGGTGCAGCCACTAAATCCATAGCTCCACCCATGCCCTTCACCAGCTTACCCTGAAATAGAGCGATATTTAAGTAGGTATTCGTATTTTGATTGATAATTTTTATGCCATTCTTACAGGAATCATCCAGTTCGCCAGATCGCCGGTGGCCGACACCTCCATGGCGCCAAGAATGGTGATATCCACATGACCACCACGGATCATGGCGAAGCTGTCATCAGAGCCAAAGTAAGAAGCTCCGGGGACAACAGTTACACTTTCTTTGCCGGCATTAATCAAATCCGGGTCCACTTCGTCCTTGGTGGGGAAGGGACCTAGACCCAGGATTCCATTCTCCGACTGCAGCATCACACTCATGCCCTGCGGGATATAGTTGGAGGAGAGGACGGGAATGCCAATGCCGAGATTGGCGAACATGCCATCACGGAACTCCAGAGCCACGCGCCGAGCAATACGCTCCCGCAGAGCCTGGGCAGGGCTAGGGGGTGGAACGGGCTTACTAGGATCCTTGGGCTCCGTGATCCTCAACCGCTCCACTCGCTTGTTGTAGTCGGTGCCCTTGAAGATGCGCTTCACATAAATGCCGGGCACATGGATCTCATCAGGAGAGAGGGCTCCAATGGGCACTATTTCCTCCACTTCGGCTACGGTGATCTTGGCAGCCCTGCACATGGGAGCATTGAAGTTCCTGGCTGCCTTGTTGAACACCAGATTGCCCAAGGGATCAGCCTTTTGGGCCTTGACAAAGGCAAAGTCCGCAAAGATGGACTCCTCCATCACATAGTTCTGTCCATTGAACTCCTTCACAGGTTTCTTTTGGCTAGCAATCTCCACTTTGCCATCCTTGGAGTATTTAATGGGTGCACCGCCTTCCTGAACGAGAGTGGCATAGCCCGTGGGCGTGTAAAAGGCGGGAATACCGGCTCCTCCAGCGCGGATCTTCTCTGCAAGGGTTCCCTGGGGAGTGAGTTCCACGGCCAGTTCTCCTTCCAGATATTGACGCACTAGCTCTGTGTTTTCTCCCACATAAGAACCAATCACCTTGGCCACCTGTTTCTGCTTGATCAGCACTCCAAGTCCGGTATTGTCAACTCCTAGAAGAGATTGAATTTGTTTTAGATATATGTACTTTTTATTAGATATATTCTAATACTCTTCATAAATATCTTTAGATGATACATATTTTAATTTATGTAAATCCTAAGAATCCTAAGAAAGGATTTTACATTTGTACAGACCTAGTACTAGTATTTTGTAAAGTCTTACCTCCGTTATTGGAAACCCCAGTGATATTTTTGACTCCCTTCTGCTTGAGGGCGTCGATCATCTTCTCCGGAATACCGCAGATTCCGAATCCACCGAAGAGGATCTTGGCGCCATCCTGGACATCGGATACTGCATCTATGGCTGACTCGTAGATCTTGCCATTTCGCTGTTTTCCAGACGTGGAGTAGCACGCGATAGCCTGAATAGTATAAGATCGCAAAGGTCTATTAGCATAAAAAGTGGTTTGATATGATGGGTGGTTTCACTGTATAAGTGAGCGTGCGTGGAGCTTGTTTGTGCCAAATCGTTACGTAATTTCGCCTATTTTTAATTCGAATTCCAGGGGGGTAATTCTAATCAGTGAGGTGATACACAAGTGGATTGTTCGCGTGGTTCCATCGAAATAATCCTTATCACAATTGGCAAGAAAACATTAAATCAAAACAACTCATACAAGTGGGGTCCATACAAATAGAAATGCTCTATTTCTGGAATTTAAATTAGCACCTGCTGTTTTGTTTTTGCTGGAAAAACTTGTTTGTCACTTTTTTGATCACATGATTAATTAAATATTTGCTCTTGAAAGAGATAACTGAGATATGTCTTTCGTTTAAACCAGTTTATCTACGTATTTCTGGAAGATCTGTTCCAGTTAAATCTGTGATATGCGGGCGGGGATAGTTTTACCTTGATAGAGGCTGAATATCGGGCGCCCAGGTTGCCATTTCCCACCAGCCGACAGAGCATTTTTAACTTAAGTTTATTTAAAATATAATATCGGATTAAAACTAAGACAAACTGTTCGCGAAATCAACACAAACGAGAATGATAAACAGCTGAAGTGCGCAACAGGTATTGGCGAGCTAGTTCTTTTGATCCAGTTCGATAGTTTATATGGGTGAAACAGCTGTTTAAAAACAGTGCAATCGAATTTAATTGTTTTAAAATTCAAAACAAGAATAAACTACAGAAAAAATTAATTTAAAAAGGAAGCAAATATTGTGTTGCTTAAAGAAATTTACAACGAAATTAATTATGAATTATACAATTGTTCTGATGCTAGTAGAATATAACATATCTCTATACCAAGAAATTGTTAACAACTAACAATATAAACTTATAAAGTTCTAACAAGTTTATAAAATATTTTTTAAATTTAATTTTTAGCCCGGTTTTTGTTTTCTTATCGATTTTCAGTGTGACCGACTGAGAAATCGAATTAAATCGCTGTTTTGTCATCAGCTGATTGCAACAATAACAAATATCTGCAATTGTTTATTTCGCTGCAAACAATAGAAATCGGCGGACGCGCTTACCCACACAACCACATCCCGAAACACACACAGTAAAGCTTAGTCAACAAAAACAAAAGTGCTTAAATTGCTAAAATACAAAACAAAACGAACCGAAAAAGAAAATGTCGTGTTGAAATCACTTGTTGTTGCTGTCGTGAAAATTACAAATTTTTGCGGTGAGCTATGGGCCATATTTATTATTTATTATATTTCGTAAATCCCAAATACTAGATGCGGTCTAGCGATGAATAATTCGGTGCTGCGCAGTTGATAAATAGGAGTTGGTGCGGTTCAAATGTTAAATATTCTGTATATACGTTATAGTCCATCGCTGATAAGATGGCGAATAAGATGGTCTCCTCCTCCGATTTCCATAGTTTCCAGCTTATCGCGGATCCACTGGCCGTTACAGACACGCATCATCGCCAGCTATTTACTCTGATGGAGCTCCACTGGACCCACCGCACCACCCATCCCCATCCCCTCGATCCATCTATCATCTTACCGGCTTGGCAACCCACCGAAACAACCCACCCATCGAGATGCAATGCCACCGATCCGATCTATAAATAGCAATCTTAATAGTTTTCCCGCAACAACAACCAAAGTTTCCACTCCACTCTGCACCGAATTATCAACATCACCGGCCGAGTGCCTCTGGGCAAATAAGTAATCATCGTGGCCTCTTCATCCCACTCCAACTCCACCTCCTCATCCTCTGATCACTCCACGTAATCTCACGCACAAAAGAGTTACAGTCAAGCCTCCATACGTTGAACTTTTCCTGGCAAAGTAATCATTTAAACAAAGAAGCTACCAACATCTAAATTATATCTTGTAAATCTGGATTTGAATCCTTCTAAAGTCTTACTTTTCTGAAATTCCAGATCTTGCCTTTAAAACTTATGGTTTTGTCTAATTTTGTCATACGATTATTAAAATTTTGAATTTAATATTAAAATGTATCTAATTCATACAGTAGAACCAGATGGAAAGATGAAACTTGTATGAAATTTCACAATCGACTTTATAATTTAAACCGCCATTTCAATTTTACATTTGAGTAAATACCATTTTAAACGAAAATATAACAAAATTGAATATACAAAAAGGAAAATATTTATTTTTATACTTAATACGTGAATGCGCCAAATAGGTTTATATCTTAAAGTTATAATAATCAGTAAACCATAGAAAATTCAAAAGATATCAATATTTACACAGTATTTATCTGCACTATTTTAAATTCTTATTGATTACGATTTCAGTTATATAAGCATGACTGTATGTACTAACTTTGCTCTGTAATTACAGCTGGCGTTCTCCTCCGATCGCCGCGTTCAGTTTGGTCTCATCGCTCCAAGCGTCCACAACGTTGTTCGATGCCCGAGGAGCATCCGCTGACCAGCCGGAGCAGACTCTTCGCCGTCGCCTGTTGGGAGGCACGTTCGCCCTCGCGATCGCCATTATCTGTGATTCTTCTCCATGGCCGGAATGGAGGTGAAGGAGGAACAGCTGCTGCTGGATACCCTGATCGGACTGTGGAGCCAATATCTCCAGGCCTCGGAGCTCGAAGATGCGAGTGTCAAGGTTTGTGCGCTTCTCCTTCGCCCATTGATATTCTCAGGTCTTATCGTTGTTTGTCTTTTCTTGTTTTCCCCTTCACAGGACCACTGGCTCTGGCTGTTGCTGTATAATTTCCAGTTTCTGGACGATAAGACCTTGGAAGATGCCTGGCATAATAGGTAAAATTATCTTAAAATAGCTATGCTTACAGATATTTAATAGTATATACATATATTATATTTTCAATATATTAATTGACCTTCATACCTTTTCAATAAGGTATATCAATATGTATTTTTATATCAAGAAAATTAAACGACGAATGTACACTTACTCGATAAAATATTCATTAATTAAAAGCCACAGAATCCATTTCATTTAAGCAACTCTACAAAATGTTTTTAAAGAAAGTTTGAACTTTATTTTCTACAAATAATAATAAATTTACATATTGTTTGCCTATTTTCCCAGCCATTTCAACCTGATGCCCGAGGAGCTCTGTTCTTTTTTGTTGAAACAGGTCTACCAAATCATCAGCGAGGCGAAGAGATCTCAGGGAAGCAGTCCGGAGCAGGAACCGGATCAACAGGACAAGTGCATTAAGCAGCTGCGCAAGGAACACAATCTAGCCCAGGTTTTTGTCCAAGTTATACCCCTTTCCCTGGATCAGCACACTAAGATTACATTTTTGGCAGCTCATACTCAGCACTCCCAGTGACTGCAATAAGATACTTGCCCTGCGGACTTTTCTCACCGATAAGTTGGGCCATCACTTGTTGGCCTTTTTGCTGCGCGTGGATATCAAGGCAAGTTAAAAGAGCCTATTTTAATAATATTAGGGTGAATCAATTTATTTGAAAAGAATAATTAACATACCTTCTATGCTTCACACACATTAAAAAAAAATCAACATTTTTGTGGTGCTTTATATAATAATAATTTCATTATAAATGTATAAGTAATTCTTATTATTATTATATTAAACCTACCTTTTATTCATTTAAATATTCCTTGTTTTTCCACCCCAGATTCAATTGATTCACCCCAATGTTTATTATTTATTTAAATTTAATCAATTACCATCCTCTGCCTGCAGCATATTGCTTCTCAGAAGAGCCTGTGCCAGCTGTGTATCAACCTGTTCCCCAACTGCAAGTGGAGCCCGTCCAACGAGCCGCTGCCTCCCCTGACCAGCATTTCCCAGTTCATCAGTAGCTTCTACCTCAATTCGCAAAGCAAAAAGCAGCGACGCCAGCAGCAGCCAAAAAGTCAATTACCCAATACAATTGAACTGAATTTCGAGAGCTTTAAAGGAACCACGAAGAGCAGTGATGAACTGGCCCTGTTGCTCATCCAATTGCTGACCAGGTGTGTGGATGCCGAGCAGGAATCCCAACTGAGCGTGACGGTTCACAACTTTGCACTGGGACATTTGTGCGCTAGCTTGGAGCAGGATTCCCCCGGCGACAATGATGAGATTATTAAGTTCGAGCTGCTGCAATTGATAGCGCATTGTGTGAATAACTTTTACATGCTGGAACAACAACAGCCAAATGTTCATGATTTCAATAGCAATTTTGGGCAACTCCTCTATGCACTGACCGCCAATCGAAGGAATCCTCTGCTGGCCTATGGTGTTCTCTATATAATGTTCGGTACCCTCCACAATTTGGTGGATAATGGCGTAAAGGAACTGAACCAGATTGACGTGAGACACTTCGATGCCTGCTTCGAGGTTTTGCAAGAGGCAGCCAAGTCAACGAACTCCTCTTCCACCATATTCCTGCATATATACAAGATGCTGCTCCGTTTGACGGATAATCTTTCCAGGCAGGAGCAGCACCTGCAAAGTCTCATGGAGAGCAGTACATCTACCGCTTTGCCCAAACAGCAGCAACATCCAAGACACAAAAGGCAGAGGAGCAGTCAACTTCATTGCTTGGGAGCAAGTTCCCTGAGCTGCTATTTCCAGGGAAAACTATATCATCTGCTGCCCAGCTTGGAGGCAGAGCTGCAGGAGCACAGTGTGAGGAGCTTACTCCGAACAGGAAGCTGTTGCTGCCACTACAATGCCAGGAATTACGCCACCTGCCTGCAACTGGCCACTCAATTAACCAGCAGTTATCAAAAGTGCGCTTATAAATTTCTACACTATAATGTTCTTCACACCATCTTTGTGAAACGAAATCTTCAGGGCTGTCCAAAATGCGAGGATAAACTTAAATCTCCTGTTTTTCACCTGGATCTACGGAATATTTACAAAGAAAACTACAAAGGACTGTTAAACACCACAGCAATGTTGCTATTTTTAAAGCACTTGAAACATATCGCCTATTTGCTCTCCTATGATTTGGCATCTGGAATCCTGGCGGAGGTGGCTCTGCCCATTTTCAGGCAATATAAGGACCTTATTGAAAGTAGAGGATCGCAGAGAAGGAATAGCAAAGTTGCACCACTTCTGCTGCCCAGCAAATTGGAAAACTACAGAGCTCTGCACGAATGCCTTAGCATCTTCGTAATGTACCTCAGCGATATTCGCCTGGTCAAAGCTTTTTACAATGAGGAGAACATCCGCTATATGCAGGATCTCTTGGCCATACCAGAACTCCAGCGGGGAGTATGTGATCTCATCAAGGTGGGCATTGACAACATAGCTTTTCTGGGCGAGAACAGCCAGGAGCAAATCACGTTGAGCAGGAGACTTATCCAACTGCAGCTGAACAGCAGCGATAGAGCATCGCAGTTATTCCAGGCTCTGCTGCACAAGTGTTCCAAGAACTCCCGCAGCAAATTCTGGCTGGACGAGGGCTCCAATCCTGTCAAGCTCGACGGACACAAGCCAGCAGACATACTCTACATAACAGCCCTGCAATGGACCCTGAACTTTGAGTTGCTTAAGACAAGTCAGTTGTTCTACAACGAATTCGCCAAAATCTACTCTATACCCGTGGAAATGTTGGACAATGAGAATGAGGATGATGTGGAGACGCCCACGGGAGAGCAGCTTCCAGAGGAGAAGAAGCTGCGGCATGGGGATAAAAATATCTTTGACATTCTAAAGCTAAACTACAATGCTCTGGGGTGTTTCCTCATGCTGCCGAAAGCCACAACGGGGGCAACCGCATCATCCACCGCAGCCACGCCCACCACAGCTGGCATTTGCGGCTCAAGTTCATTGGAAACCCTGGTCTCGCATTTGCCACTCGGTGGCTCCGCTTCAGTCTCGGTCACAACGGCTGCCGGTTCGGACTACGCGGATTCGCCTCTGGATTACGCATCGGTGATTGACACATACGATAATTACTCGCGGGACATGACCACCAACTCGTTCCTGCAACAACTGCTCTCCTCCGAACCGGACGAGAGTATAGTCCTCTTCGACATCCGTGGCAGTCAGGCGGGCAATGATTGTCCCACCAAATCCATGGCCCTTCCAAATGAAGAGGAAGTGGCCGCAGCCAATGGCATAATCAACAAATTATTCAACATTGTGGGATCTTTATTTGGCGGAAGTGCGGGAGGCGAAGGAAGTGGGAACTCACCGACAAGTGCTAATATTGATGCGGATTTGTTCTGCCTCTACGAACCCAACGGTGAATGCAAGAAACTCTTGCTTAAACTCTTCGAGGCGACCATGGCCATCTGCATCAAGGGTTTTCAAAACGAAGAAGGTAAGTGTCGGAGATTGTTCGCTTGAATACCTGTTATGAAAATTGATGAGTATGTCGAATTGGAGAGTTGATAGGTCTATAGTATTCCAAGTTGAGACGCTTACAGTTCTATTATTAAATATTATTTTTGAAAAGGGGAATTAAATATTTAACTCAATAAAATTGTATTTCAAATTACATATGTATGATTAATTGAAATAATTTTGTTGTGATTAGTCATCAATTGTATGTAGTAAGAAAGAGCTCTCCATAATTAAAATTCATAATTTTTATACCCTTGCAGAGGGTATTATAATTTCAGTCAAAAGTTTGCAACGCAGTGAAGGAGACATTTCCGACCCTATAAAGTATATATATTCTTGATCAGGATCACCTCCTGAGTTGATATAGCCATGTCCGTCTGTCCGTCCGTCCGTTTCTACGCAAACTAGTCTCTCAGTTTTAAAGCTATCTGCTTGAAACTTTCCCAAAAGTTGTCTTTCTATTGCAGGTAGTATATAAGTCGGAACGAGCCGGATCGGGCGACTATATCATATAGCTGCCATATAACTGAACGATCGGAAAAGCCATAACGTTGGTGTTTTTAAAGTTAGGAAGTTGGGATTTTCTATAAGTTTTATTTTTGGCCAATTAATCCGACCTACCAAATTTCATAAGGATCGGACGAATATATCCTATAGCCGCCATATAACTGATTGATCGGAAATGCCATAACTTGGGTGTTTGTAAGGTTAGGAAGTTGGGATTTTCTATGGGTTTTATTTTTGGCCAATCAATCCGACCCATATTCATAGGGATCGGCCGACTATATCCTATAGCGGCCATATAACTGAACGATTGGAAATGCCATAACTTTGTTGTTTTTAAAGTTAGGAAGTTGGGATTTTTTATGAGTATTAAGAATGCATCATATGAATAATTTTGGAGAATATAATTTACAGAATATTCTGCAAGGGTATTTCAACTTCGGCTCCGCCCGAAGTTAGCTTTCCTTTCTTGTTTGATTATAAATTATATTGCGGTAAATAATATAGGGAGTTTTTTTGTCACTAACAAAGTTATGACTAGTTTAATGATTTAAAAAAAATGTATTTTGAAATTAGTCAGCTCTTTAATAATAAAAACTTTCATGAAAAATTTTAAATTTTTTGATTTTTTGTTAAACATATACTTTAAAAAATGCAACTAAGTTGTATTTTCTATTCAATATTTTCATTTAAAGTATCTTTTCTCACAATGTAAAATCATAAAACTTTATAAATTGTTAAGATAGCAATGTTCCATGGTTTTCTTCTGACAAGGGCCGTTCATTAACTTTGTTTTAGTAATATTAAATATTCACCAAACTGAAGCAAAAAGGGTATGCAAAGTTAAGGGGCATTACTTGGCTGCAATTTCGCTCCTTGGCTAACCGCCCATCTGGTGGGTTCCACGGCATTCCGCGGCTAATGCGTTTCCAATAGGCAATAGGCAATAGACAATATACAATATACAAATACACAACAGTCGAGCAGCTCTCTGGGGAAGCCCTAGAAGTGGGACAAGAACAAGGCACCCACATTCACCTCCAATCCAGCTCTAGATTCTCGATTCTAGACTCAGGCTAATAACGGGGCGTTGTGGTTGTGATTGTGGCTGCGGACTAAGAGAGTTAATTATAAGCCAGCTAGGCAGACAGTTAGTCAGTCGGTCGGAGTATAATACGCGGCATTTACAAGGCTCAGGCTGTCGGGATTGAATTTCTGGTTTCTGGGTACACATCGTTACAACATCGCAGATACAGACTGAGGAAACACACATCGAGATAGGCACCGAAACGAGATACATTCCAGACAAGAGACGACACTTTTGCTTTGGCGCTCGTCCAGCGCTGACGACTTGCTCTAGTTTACGGAAGATAGTCGCCTGTTATCAGTCACCATATCTCTCACTAATCCGCGGTTTATCTACTCGCCTTCACAGTGGAGAAGATGCAGAAGCACCTGCGCAAGCTGCGAGCCATTATTTTAAACCATGCCACGTATAATTGGACGGATCATGGGGACCAGCATGCCCGGGATAATGCGGTGATCCAGACCCTGCAGACTCTGCTGAAGATCGCCGAGCTGTCGAGCACGCACCAAGAACCAGCTGGCGTGGTCAGCAGTCCATCGGGCGATTCGCAACAGCCAAGACCACGTGCCAGATCTTTCAACAGCGGCAGCGTGGAGTTGCCCAGATTGCAGCCCGTCAAGTTGCCAGCCAAGAACTCCCTGGCCACTCCGCCCACACCCCGCAGGAGACCCAATTCCAGTGAGGTGAATGTGGGCGTGGATGCGGATTACTTCTCCACCCGGGCCTCCTTGAGTTGCGCCGCCGACAGCGAACTGGAACTCAGTGAGAACGAGCACGAGTTTTACCTCACCGCTGATGAGGGTTACGAGGCGGATGGTGAAATTGCTGATCTCAGCGAGTCCGAGTGTGAAATAAATGGAGGTGTGATGGCAGCCAATGAATCGTGGACCCCGTTTCAGCCATCTTCCCGTTACCGAACCCACATTATGCACCAGGGACTCAGCCAGCTGGTCGTTCAAATGCTGGCGGAATTATCACTTCTCTGCATCAAGCAGCCAAATGGATGGACGGAGAGTCTCACCCAGCTGGCCAACCGGCTGTTCGTCATCAGGGATTATCTCGGGGGTCCACTGTGCCTTCTCAAAGGATTCGCACCGATTCTTAGCTGCAGCGATCCGAGATTGAGGGGTGAGTTGAGGGATTCCTTATGAAGATCCTTACATTCTTAACGTTGATCCTTTCCAGAACTACAGCAATCGATCCTAGAGTTGGTTACCCACCTAAACACCCCAGAAGTCCTGCAGTGTTACTACTCAATCCTGGCCTCCCGGCAACCTCCAGTGGATCTGTTAATGCGACACATGCACCACATCTCTTCGGGATCGCTTCACAAGGCTCAACCCTACATGGAGCTTGACTTTCCAATCACCACAGATGGCAAGATTGTGATCACTTCGGAACCACTGATAAGCGAGCAGATCGAAAGGGTGCGACTGCATCACCAACAATGCCAGACAAGTACGCTTTTTACCCGGGCTGCCTGCATTTTTCCGGTGACCCAGACACGCCTCTGGCAGCCAGATGGCTTGACCCTATCACTCTGGTTGGAGTTGAGGGGTCAGCAGATGCATCGCAGCTCCATGCAGTTCAATGATGATGAGACGCGTTATTCGGGAGAGGATTTATCAGTATGTTAATGTGATAACTATAACCCATTTCCACTATAACTCAGTCCCATTCCCTTTAGAAACTTCACCTGCTTTCTCTGGGAACCAATCAAGCCATGGTCAGCATCTACATAAGCCACAACATGCAGCTTATTTTCGAGTTGGTCAAGCCAAATGAGCAACTGGCCGCGGTTCGGGTGGAAGAGCAAATGGAGGCCAGTGCCGACACGGCATCGGTGATTTCAGCCAACACACAGGCAGCCAATGGGGGAACCATCCGACAGGCTCTCAAACAGACAAAGTTGGCGCTACTCAATAGTTTCGGACAGATGCACTTGCTTAATGGCCACCAATCCTCGCCGGATTCGCCAGGCGGTTATTTCGAGGGATCCGCGGTGCAGCTGCAGCACTTGCGTTTGCCACGCCACAAGTGGATGCATTTGGTCTTCGGTCTGCAGCAGCGAGGAGATGCCGTTGAAATTAGCATATACCTAGATGGCCTGGAGCAACACACCATGCGATTGCCGTTCCAAAATCTCCGCCAGCTTACGCGGGCGCACAGCTTTCAGCTACTCGCTTTGGGCGAAGGACAACCGACGAGGAGTCCTGGCGGCAGCTTCTCCTCGCGATCCACTCTCGACGGATCTGCCCCTCGATACGCTCTGTCCAATGTGATCCTCTTCAGGCGGCGCTTAGCAGATCCTTTGCTCATGATGAATCTTACTGCCATGGGACCGGACTTTACAGAGTTCACCCAGTGCCAAGTGGCCAACTGGAAGCCTAACTATGGTTTTGTGAGTCTAGGTAAGCTGGCGTCGTCGAATTTCGGCAACCATTTGGACTGTATGCGGCAGCTGAGACAGGCCAGAGTCCTAGTCTACACAGCCCAGCAGCCGGAGCTGGTGATGAGCTACGATGCCAGCCAGGAACTGGACATGGCCTGTTATGGACAGCCCTACGGACACATGCTGTATGGGGAACTGCAGCAGCATCAGCCGCAGACCCTCCAGTCAGCCACATCTCTCAGCGGAGGACTTTCCACGCTGTTGTATCTCTTCGCCAGGGTGAGTCTGCTTCCAATCCTCTCAAGAATCTCTCCGTAACCATGTTCTTTTATAGATCGTTGAACTCACTGGAAATGCGAATACCCAATCTTTGGCTTTGGACCTTTTGCTCCAGGTGGCCCACGCGGATGCTCAGCTGTACACAGAGTTCCAACGCCAGGATTACCTAGCCCTTATTGGTTATGTAATAAAATCCGAGAAATGCTCCAAGGATGTCCAGCTACTGCGGAGCATTGTGAACAACGCCTGCTCCCAAGCGCTGATCAGCCGGAAGGGAGATACCCTGAATGTCAACGACAACACAATGGCTACTTTGGTCTATCCCCGCCTCCTGCTGGCGGTGCTGCAGCGTTACTCCGACTGGCATCGCTCCGGAGCCACCCACTCGGATGTTCTGGATATGCTTTTCCGCTGTATTCTGGCTCTCACCAGGGACAAACACCCGCAAAGGGATTTCAACATGGAGCAACTCCAGAAAGCGGGTTTGCTTGGGGCACTCCTCAATCTCTGCAAGGTCTATGTGATTGAGTCGCCCAGTCCGGTTCAAATTTCACCTTTTGCCGCTGAGTGTTTTGTCCAGATTCTGGCGGTATTTGCAGGATCGCCTCCTGATTCCTCAATGCTGGATGAGATCATGAAATTACTGCTGCTACTGCACAAGCCCAGCGAATGTTATGTAACCCACGATCGCTCGCACTTTTATTTCCTGCTTACGTCCCAGCAACCCGCAAAGGAACGATCCCTGGTGGCCGCCAATTTGAGCAGGGTGACCACTTCCCTGCGATGGCAATTAAATCCTCAGCAGCAGGAACTAGATCCCGAGCGAGCGGAAAGAATAAAGAGATTGCGACGCCTCCATGCCAACACATCTGGTTATAGAAAAGCCGTCAACGAATTCGAGGAGCAACTGGAGCAGATGGCCGACTGCTCGAATCTCAACAAGACCGCCTTGCGACTGCTAAGTCCTGTGGAGGCGACTCGTTGGCGTTTGAAGTTCAAACGGCGTCATCCGACAAATGCCAATAGCCCTAAGAGGAGTCCGCTGAAGATCGCCCGAAGGCGGATCCATCCGCATCTGCATCTCGGCAAGCTATGGCAGCCATCGGGTCATAGTACTCCCAGTTCGGGTCAGACATCGCTGCCAAATAGGAAGACGGATTTCTATGATCAACAGGGGATTATCCGGCTGCAGCAACGCCTGCTCATCCTTTTGAAGGACTTCCTATGCCTGCTGCCGGATTCCTCGGTGGACGTCGTCACCCGACACTATGTAAAACTGGAATTGCTCCTGGTGCTGGCTAATCAACGCAGCTGTGCCGTTCGCCAGGCCATCATCCAATTGCTGGATGTGCTGACAAAGCGTCTGCCCAGTGGTGAACTGAATGTTGCCACCAAGTTGATGTACCCTCTGCATATGGCCAATCAGTTGACCATCCACGGATGTGACACTAGCATGTTTGAGACCTGTCTTGCTTGGATTACCGGGATGCATGGCAACCTGACGGACGTGCTTAACTCCGAGGAACCACTAAGGATTCGTCAGCGTTTTGGTCTTCAATCTTTATTGGCCATTGCGGCGGGTGTTGAACCACAGAGGGTGTTCAAAGCTCTTCTAAGTCTTTATCTACAGGTAAAATTAGCATTTTATAACCTTAAAGAGGGTTTTATAATTTCAGTCAAAAATTATTATTATAGAAATCCTTTCTTGATTTAAGAAACTTTATAATCCATTAATATTCGATTTCTTATCTGCTTTTCCCAGAATCCCGATGATCAGATTTTTCTTATGGAGGCAGGACTGTTACAGTGTTCAGTGAAGGCCCTCTACAAAATCTACTCCTTGCGCCTGGGTCAATCCAATACAGATGAGTCCATTCTGGAACTCCTGTCAAATATTGGAGAGCGAGCTCTGCGCTCTGTGGGCCAGATAAATGTAAGTAGCTAAAAAATTAAACTAATAAAGCACTCTAACATTAGTCTATCCTCTTGTCCAGGTTGTTTGGGACATCCTCAGCCTGCTATCCTTCTACCAAGACAAGCAACCCCAGATGATAATGCGCAGTTTCCGAACAGCCCAAGCTCAACTTCAGCTGGAGTGGCTCACTAAGTTCTTTGAGCCCAACAGTTTCCGCATACCGGTTTGCAACGATTCCGCACTGAGTCACACGGAATTGCGCACCCGCGTGGAGCTGCTCATTGATCGCTGTACTCAGTTTTTCACCGTGGGTGTGGGTCAGACCACCGGGCCAACCTATGTGGCTAGTTCCCAGGAGCTCGCTCTCTTCCAGCTGCTAGTTTCTTATGGGATTTCGAGCAATCAACGATGCAACAACTTCATCGCCTGGGGCTTACAACCATCTCGTCCACGGGATCTGCGCTCCTATATAGTGGATGCCCTGTGGCGATCCCAACAGGACGAATTTCAGCGAGCTATCATCTGCGATGCGAAGATGATCAAGGCACTACTATGGCTCTCGCTACTGGAGGACATGACGGAGCCTATAGAAAATCTCCAACGACTTTGTGATGCCTTGGGCATCAAGGAGAATGATTCCTCCTGGAATCTAGTCCATGAGCTGGATCGGCTCGACCAAAACCGTAATAATATGGCCGCCAAACAGAAGACATTGCTGGAGAAGACCGTGTACAGATTTGAGCCACTGGTACAGCACTGCATAGAGTCATCCATGGTAACTACCAGAAAGGTTGCGGAACTGCAGGTTAGTAATATTAAAAAAGAAAAATTTGAAAATAATAATATATATCTAAATTGATAGTCGGCGCACAAGAGGCCAACGATTTTTCCAGTAATTCAAGTAAAACTTTCTTTATACCCCTCCAGAATGCTGAGCGCAAGGCTCTGATGTGCCACATGAAGGTGTACGATGATACCTACACCTACACCAAGTGGCTGGAGATCATACGCCGTATGACGCACGAGGGAGCTCCCTGGCACTCCGCTGAAAGAGCTGAATGGTATGCTAGGATTGTAGAATGTCTATAATCAAAATCTAATCCATAACCCACCTTAAAGCTCTTGGGAACTGGATGACACGGAGGGTCCCTTTCGAGTGCACACTCGTTTACGTCGCTGCCACCTAGACATTGATCGACGCTTCTTTATGAACGAATACAGACCGAGGCAAGGACAACGCGAGGACCTGGAGCCATATGTCCGTCCTCTGGACTACCTTATATCCAGTTACGATCAACAATTAAACATATCGCTTAACTCTCAAATCCTTTACAACTTTGCGGCCAAATTCCTGCCCGTGGACGGCGAGATCGAGGGCGAGATCATTATCACCGATCTGAAGCTCTACTTTCTTGCCACGTACCGCTGTCGGTACTTCAACGTGAACTGTGATATCGCCAACATAACGGAGATCTGGCTGAAGCGCTACCAACACCAGGAGACGGCCTTCGAGATTCTGCTGGACACCAACAAGTCGCTGTTCTTCTCGCTGCAGAACGCCGACGACTGGAAGATCATGCGCGAGGTATTCTGTGATAAAATCGTGGCCACGCCGGATCAGGCCAAAGTGCTGGCCATCACCCAGCAGTGGCGCGAAGGTCTTCTCACCAACTGGGAGTACCTGATGACCCTGAACCAAATCGCCGGGCGTACCTACAACGATCTCATGCAGTACCCAGTTTTTCCCTGGGTGCTGGCCAACTACAACTCGGAGATTTTGGACCTGAGGGAGGGACCAAACTTCCGGCGACTTGGACGACCCATTGCCGTACAGCTGGAGGAGAACGAGAAGCACTACATCAGCAACTATACAGTCGGTGGACATTCTATCATTACATCCTTTAGAACATAATAAAAATCTTTCGATCTTTGCAGTACATTGACAGCACCAACACCACCATGGGCTCTCTGATTCTTAAGCCGTATCACTACAGCTCCCATTACTCCAATTCCGGTACCGTGCTACATTTCCTTGTGAGGGTCCCACCGTTTACCAGCTATTTCCTGCGATACCAGGACAATGATTTCGATTTACCGGATCGTACGTTCCATGCCTTAAACACCACCTGGCTATTGGCTAGTCGGGATAGTCCTACGGACGTGAAGGAGCTCATTCCGGAGTTCTTTTGCCTGCCGGAGATGTTCGAGAACTTCGAGCGCTTTAAATTCGGTTGTCGACAGAATGGCGAACGGGTTGAGGATGTATCACTACCGCCATGGTGTCAGCGGGACTCTCGGCTCTTTGTGCTTATCCACCGACAAGCTTTGGAATCGGAACTGGTGCGAAATCAGATACACAATTGGATAGACCTGATCTATGGTTACAAGCAGAGCGGAGAAAGCGCCGTGGAGGCCATCAACGTTTTCCACCCAGCGGTAAGTTGTAATCGCTTAAAAAGTAAACTTAATTATCCAAATATTTCCCCATCCCAGACCTATGCCGTATTTCTGGACTCAGAGATAAGCGATCCTATTGAAAGAGAGGCAGTCAAGACAATGGTGAAGACATATGGCCAAATGCCCAGGCAGCTTTTCAAGTCACCACATCCGGCGACCAAGGCACTGGACTACTCCTTGGTGGACAAACCAATAGTGTCCACCGTTCGTGGTCTGCGTTGGGGCGTCTATGTAGGATCACCGCAGCTGAAACCTCCCTCCTGGGCAAACATTCACAAGATACCCGGCACCGAGCATTTGGTGAGCTTCAGCAACACCAATGTGGTATATGCTCTTCCAGGAAGGGCGAGTGTGATGCAAGGTGCTGAGCCAGATACGTACAACGTGATCTCTTGGGGCTACGACGATCGGATTGTTAGGATCCAGCCACTCAACAAACCACAGGCCAAGCCAAAGAACCTGCTGCACAATGGAACCTTTGACGATATCACCGCCTGTGGATGCGATGTGAACTCGAATCAGCTTTGGTTTGGCCACAAATCCGGCCGGGTGAGTGTGTACAAGTGCTCGGGAGGATTGGATTCCCAACAGCGAGCCTCAACGAAGAGTCGCCACAGCTATGCACGTGGATTCAGTTTGTCATACAACTCGGCCTTCCGGAAGATGACGAGCAAAGCATTGGTAGGAGGTGGAGGATCAGAGAGAGTCGATGAGGCGGGCAACCTCCATACAACCCATTCCGCCTCTTCAGTTAACTCGGCCAGCAATTCCTCTGGCAGTGACGCTTTCCAGCGTGATGGAGCCGATCTGAACTGGCTGGGACCCACGTTGCTGGTGCGCCACACAGACGAAATCACCTGCATTACCCTGTCCGTGGAGTTTAAGATTGCAGTGACCGCGGGACGCGATGGCATAGCTGTTATTTGGGATTTAAATGAGTAAGTTGTATAATATTTTTTGAAAAATGTAATTAATATAATTCCTTCCATCCAGCTGGAGCTATGTGCGAACGATTGCGCGCCCGGCGGAGATTCATCAGTCGCCCATAACGCACGTGGCTATAAGTCCAACGCTGGGAGACATTGTCACAGTTCATACGCTGCCACAACCTGCAAGCCCAAACACGGAAGCAACGCCTCCGCCAGCTGCAACCAGACCCAATTCCCTCAACATTGCCGACGAATGCTTCGAGGTGACCGAGGAAAGCCTTGACGACTTTGTGAATGTAAATGTGAATCCCAACGGCAAGTCCATTTTGCGACTGCACTCGGTCAATGCTCGTTATGTGCAGCATCTGGTGCACGAGGATCGCATCCAGGCCGTGTGCTACTCGTACATCAAGGAGGGAGTGGGAGTCAATGTGATAGCCACCGCAGTGGAGGGAGGATTCGTGCGCTTCTGGTCCAGCTGGAACCTGAGCTTCGTCAGTGAACTGACCACGGGCACTTCGCCCATCCGGAGGTAAGGGTAGCCCATGGACATATAAAAAAATAATAATTATTCCCGTTCCCATTGCAGCATCTGCTACTCAACACATCAGCATTTGGTGGTGCTAACGCGAGAGTCTCACATACAGGTGTGGGAATCCGAGGGTCTTTACGGAAATGCCCCAAAGTTCCCGCAAATTGTCTATAAGTAAGGTTAATGGGAATTGGATCGGTTTGAACACTCAACATACTCAATAACTCAACTCAAAGCATATCAATGACAGACACATACAATTAAAAAAAAAGCAGCTGAATCAAAGAACATATTTTTGGTTGGTCAACGAGAAGTTTTGCTTCTAAAAGATTTCAAATTATAACATTCTCTTGCGACCGCCACAAAATTGATATATCAGAAGACTATAAGATTCCTAGGCTTAGGTCTCATAGAGCTGTAAAATACAAATTTTGTACCAAAACTTTTTATTATTATTTACCTTTCGTATTTGTTTTTCCCGTGCCGCATGAAAATGCCCGCGCCGCCTTCAATTGTTGATATTATCAAATAAACAATAATATTTTGCAAAACTATGAAATTTACTTTTACAATTATTAGGTAAATAATACAATGTACATTGTAATGACTTCTTAAGTAAGGGTAAATGGTTATAAAACTAGAGATACTACTAAGTACAATATTACTTATCGAAAGCTTCTCTTGTTGTCAGCACTTCCAGGGTGGAGGCTTACTGTTGCCATTTCCGCTTTTTGGTTTGTTTTGTTTGCTTCCCTGTTTGGTCGCCATGGACAGAATCTCATCGAGTTTGTCGAAATCACTGGGCGACTTGCTAAGGAGCAGCTCAATGTAGGCCTGCAGCTTATCCATTGGTGAGGGCGGATCTCGTTTCCCCACCACATCTAAGTTGTTCTTCTCCGTGCTGTTGCTGCGCTGTGATTTGCTCGTCTTGGGAGTCTCTGGATAAATGCGGGCATTGTTGAGCTCCGGTGATTCTCCTTCAGTGTCGCTGGCTTGCATCAGAGAGTTCTGAGTAGGCGTGGTAAGTATTGCAAGTGCCTGCTGCCACTGGGCTTCCATTACTCCATGGAGCTTCTCCGCAATATCAGCTCTGGGATTAGAAAAATATGTCTTAGACCCAAAGTTGTTAATAAAATATAAATTGTACCTCTTGGTTTTGTAACAGCTGAGTTTCAGATCCATTTCATCTATCTTCTTGGACGCATTCGCCAACTGAAGGCGATACAACTCAACCTCCTCGTTATGCTTTTCCTGGATTAGATTCAGTTCCTGATTGTTTTTCTCGTTGATCATTTCCAGCTGTTTAACGGCTCGCTCAGCTATCAGCCTTTCACGTTCGCGTGCCTCATTCTTTAGATGCTCCTCATTTTTGTCCAGCTGGTCTTGAAATTCCTGCATTTTTTTGGAAACCACATTCTCCATTTGCTGTTGGTAATACTGCTTTAGAGATTTCTGTTGAATATCCAACTTTTTTTTAAGATTTGTCTGAAAAATAATGAAAATTTTATATGATTGGGTTAACAAAGAGAAGTTTTAAGGAGTCACCTCATTTTCGGTTAGATTTGCCAGTGTTTCTTGCATGGATTTGCGCTGGGCCTCCAAAGAATCTGCACGAGCTTTTTGTTTTTGATGATATTCTTGCAGCATTTCCTTTTGGTTTGTAAGCGTGTTCTTGTCTTTTTCCAGTTCTTCAATGCGGGCTTTTAGCTAGAATTTTAAATATGCTTTTAAAAATGATCAATTTTTCCTTAATATCCAATTTACCTTCTCCTGCTGGTAGTCGACCTTGGCAAACTTATCCCTCAGCTTGTTGAGCTCCGCGTGTGATAGCTCTTCTGCCCTCTTGCTGCTGTGCAGCTGCATTTCCAGTTGCTCCAGTCTGTCGTCCCAATCCTTGGCCTCTTTTCTGCGATGATCCAGTTCCCCCTCTAATTTATCATTCTTTTCCTGAAACTGGGTGGCCAAGTGGACAGCCTGGGACAACTCGTGCTGCAGGGCATCAATCTTGGTGTGAGATTCGCTTCTGTCCGTCTCCAGCCGGTGGAGAGCATTACGAAGTTGCTGAACCTCGTAGTTGAGGCTCTGGGCTGTTTGCTCAGCTCCACTGAGGGCTGCATCCTTGGAACGATCTACCTCGATGGCCACTGATATGCGCTGCTGGTACTCCAACAGTTGGGATTGCAGGGTGTGAACAGTTTTCTCTAGATGCTGTCTCCTCAGTTGTTCCTCTTTCAGGGAAGGACTGCACAAGAGTTGGTTGGGAGAATTGTTGTCCAGGACAGTTCTCGACATGCTACTCTTGCCCCAGAGTTCACTCAGGCTGATAAGCTTGTTGTCGTTCAAGCTGTTGCGTGCGCCTCTCACTACTTCCTTCACTGAAGCAGCGCCGGAGGACGAGGAAGCCAGTCGCATGCTAGGCAAGGATGTGGCCGCCGGATGACCCTCTTGCACCACCCGCTCGTTCCGCAGATGGTCATCGCTATGGTGATGCAGGTGATGATCCTGCCTCTGCCAGCGATGTGCATTGTTGTCGTCCAGGTAGTGATCAATCTCCAGGAGTATGTTATCCTCTAAGGGTCGGTGGCGAAGAGGCTCCACAGATCCACTTTTTGGAGTGGAGTGCACCATGCCATGGAGCTCCCTGTTTGGCCGTCCTGCTGCATTTCTCACGGTATTCGTGGATATGGTGGATATATCCGATGGTGGCTCAAATCCTCGATCATCCTCCGCATCCAGTCCGATGTTCTGCAACCGTGCATTTATGTTATTGAGCTCCGATTTCTTGCTGGGATGCAGGAACTGGTACGCCGCACTTGTGGGCGCGGGGGGCGGGGGCATGGCCAGTGCATCGGCCGCTGCGCCTGCGCCTGAGCTCATCTTCACCTCCGAATAGTAATTGGGCGGTATGAGCAGCAACAGATCGGTGTCGTCCGTGTCCGTATCGCTCATTCCTCACGCATGTCGAGCCAGCTCGAGTCAAAACGCACCGGTTTGCAGTAAAATACGGATAACAGATGCAATTGGTTGGTTGCTATAGTGATAACACGACGCGTAAACATTGCAACAGGGCTGTCGAGTTTTGGTGATAATGCACCACTATCGTATACAAAAAATAAGATACATATCGAATACAGCGAGCCCTTAAGATATTTTTAAGAGTATACGACAATTTATTTTGGTTTTTAATATTAAGAGGCCATACTAAACAAATTTTATTTTATTACAGTTTTAATTAAGTATCAAATGTAACTATACTATATTTGCAAAACTACATTTCACTTCACTTAACCTTAGAAAGAAATTATTTTGTATAATTTTAAAACCGTTTTTTCTAATGTAACAAATAAATTCAGATTTACTATTTCTGTTTATACCGTTGCAATCAGCAACCATTTTAAAAATTATAATTTAACTTATAAACAATACGATTGTCTTTTTCAAGCATCTGACCAAATTTATAATACCCTCAGTAAGGGTATAACATACATTTCTTGTCAGTTTGCCGTGAGCTGACCACCATGATTCAATTATTTTGACATATCGGTTATCGATTGTCGCTTGGGCGCCCTGTAATCGATTAATGTGACCGTGAAAGGACTCTGTTAACCAGATTTTTTGTTTGAAGCAAGTGTTTTTCTATTAATTTTCCCGCCAGGGACGCTTCAGGATGGCATATGTAAGCTTGATTGTCTGCGGGTCACCGGCGGTACACCTGGAACCAGATATAATCTACAGGATTGGGCGGAAAAAGGGTCTGGAAATCAGCATCGCCGATGAGGTGAGCGACATAAGGCTTTAAATACACTTTAGGGCTTTAAATAACTCGCGCTTCAATTGCACAGTCCATGGAACTGGCCCATGCCACCGCCTGCATCCTCCGCCGCGGAGTTGTGCGCCTGGCCGCCATGGTTGGCAGTATATTCGTCAACGACCAGGAGAAGACTGTGGCGGACATCAGCAAGGCGGAAGCCTTCGACGGCACGGTTAAGCTCCGGTTTGGAAATGTGGAGGCCAGGCTGGAAATCAGAGACGAGAACGATGAGGTGAGCAGTGCACAAAACATCCATCCTAAACAAGGATCACATACTCCATTTAAACTAAATACAATGCTAATATATTTTTTCAGGCCCATGACAGCAGCGGATTTGGGGAATGCCCGAAAGACAGGTCAAACAACTCCACAATGGACAGCTTCAATATACCTGAAACGCAGCCTCCGTCCGCCAACACGTCAGCAAACACCTCGGCGGACAGCTTCTTTATACCTGAGACCCAGGCGGTTAACTTTGAAAGACCGTCGACCAGTGGAAAAGTGTCGCTGGGCGATGACTTTATGATACCTGAAACGCAGGATCTGCTGGCCGAACTTCCATCTGTGCAGTTCAATGATCCAGTGATTAACCACAAAGAGTTGAGTAATGATGCGGACTTCTCCCAGGGCAGCGAGATACGGATTTGCACTCAGGACTTCAACGAGGATGCCATCGATGACTTTGATTCATCGCAGATCCTTTGTGATGCTATGCTTGATCTGCCGCTACCAAGGCCAATAGAAACTTTGGAGAAAAAAGATAGTAAGCGGGGTAGGTACAGCCCTTGCAAACGGGAAACTTTCAATCCTAATTAAATACTTTGAATTATTTAGATCAACTAAATGCCACCGACTTGGAAATGAGTGCCTTGAATTGGTCAGCCAGCAATTCGAAATCCTGTGCCCTAAGTAGCACCGCAATCCTGCCAAGCGGTGATGCCTGCATAACTCCTGAACTGTCAGCTCCCTCCGAAGATCGTCCGATCTGCACCCCTGATCTTTTCGATTTGATCTTGGGCAATGAGCCGCGTTCAGGCTCCAATAGTCCAGATCCTTTCGTCCGTCCTTCAAACGTAGCAAATACCACCACACCACAGTTTGGTGGCGTTAAACAGCTGGTTGTGGCCACCATTGAGACTCCTACTGCAACTCCCGACAAAGAGGATGCAGCCAGCAGTCAAGAAATGAATCAAGATTCGATAGTCACTCAACGATTTCCGGAAAATAAATTGTTGGAAAGTGAGAGCGAAGACGAAGATGTACCGAATCAAGATTTTGTGGCAACCCAGGCTTTTAAATTGGGACGCCCCCAACAAGACAAAGTTCCTAATTCACCAAAAGATAACGAAACCAACCAAGACTTCATAGCTACTCAGGCGTTTAATTTTAGACGTCCACAACCACCCGACTCTCCTAAGGCACCGAAAGCTAATACGAATTGCAACCAAGATTTCATAGCCACTCAAGCGTTTCCCGCCAATATTAATAGCTCTAGGTGTCAGGACTTTATAGAAACACAACAATTTAATCCGGGTAATCAGAATTCCTTGAGTTTTGGTAACAAAGAAAATATTCCACACGACAACAATACCGAAAAAGCTGCAGGTAATAACAACAGTTAATATCTTGTATTACGGACATGACATTATCCTTTTCAGGTTCAAAATCCGTCGAGGAGCCTTGTGATGAAATAGATGCTGTGCTCAACGAAATGATTTCTGGGACAATCGTAACATCACCTGTAAATCCTAACGAAGAGCCGATAAAATTCTTTAAGCCGTGCGTGATTAAAGATAAGAATCACTTTCAAAAGGTAATTTTAAGATATCCTAGGTCCATTAGCTATAAAGAACAATATTCTACTTTAAAGGTTTGTCAAATCGAGGGGTTTTCGGTGACATTAGTAACAAAAGACGGTGGCGCTCTGAGGGCACTAGAGATGGCAGTCGCAAACGCGTAGCCAGATCGGAATCTCCCCCGGAAACACGTATGTCCTTTATAACTTATAAATACATAAATCGGAGAAGTATTAAAAAACCATTTATTTCACAGCAAGCCGAAAAAATAGACGAACATCAGAGGGTTCTCAGGGATTGGAATATAACTTGAGAAAGCGGAGAGCAACTTCAGTGGATAAAAAATCAGAACGTAAGTGGTTGGAGAATCCATGAAATCTATACTTATGTAAAAATTTCCAGCTCTCAACAAATTTATTTGCAAAGAACATGATGTATCCCCGCATACAGAAGAAAAAGATAAGGATGATAAAATAAACTCTCCTTTCAAAGTGATGGCCAATAAATGGCAAGCACGTAGAAGTATAATAAATAACCGATCCGGTACTCCAGGAAACTCTTTAGAAACGAATAAAGTTGAAGATGAGATGCAGGCTAAATCTAAAGATGAGCTATCCGCAACCCCGTCCATTCAAGAGCCTTCATCTAGCGGTGCCAATGCCAAGGAACCATCTGTTCGTGCACCAAGAGCAACTCGTGCTACAAAGTCGCGATCCACAACACCTTCTGTCGATGATCTATTGCCGTCCATTGAAGAGCCTTCACCAAGCGGTGCCAATGCCAAGGGACCAGAGGTTCGTGCACCTAGAGCAACTCGTGCTACAAAGTCGCGATCCACAACACCATCTATCGATGAGCTATTGCCTTGTTCCGCCAGTGACAAAAAGCCCAAAATTGTAACTGCCAAAAAAGAAACTCGAAAGCCCGGTAGAAAAACCAAGGTCGTGGAGACAAACAAGGCAGACACATGCAATGATATTCCCAGGCCAATAACCAAAACTAGGCGCAATACTAGCCAAGTAGATGATGCACTTTCAGAGAAGGAAAGAAAGGTTGAAAGTGCGGATGTTGAAGTTGTTGAGACTCCTGATGCAGAAAAACCTGTGAAGTCAAAAAGAGGAAGAAAGGCCAAGAACCTGGAGACCAGTAAAGAAGGCACATCCAAAGAAATGGCGAAGCCAATGTCTACAACTAGGCGCCAGACTAGCGAAGAAGAAGTTAAGAAGCCTAATGCAGGAGGAGGAACAGAGGCCGAAAACGCCGAGACCAATATTGCCAATTCATCTTATGATACTCCAAAGCCCATGACCAAAACCAGGCGCAAAGCTAGCGTGGAAGATGTTGAGGACCCTAAGGCAGAAAAACCTGTCAAATCGGAAAAAGGAAGAAAGGCCAGGAATGTTGAGGCAAATAGGGCGGACACATCCAAAGATATGCCAAAAGTGATGACCAGAAACAGGCGCAAAACGATCGTCGAAGATGCTGAAACGATGAACGATGAAAAACCAATGGAGACTTCATTAAAACGTGTAGTTGTCCGTATACCCAGAGCAAGTGTTGACAAAATAGAGACTTCCTCAACCTCTGGGACTAGTTCCAGGGTGACTAGTGCAGCCAAGTCGCCTTCCATTGAAGAACCATTATCTAGCGTTGCTAATTCCAAGGTCCGTGGACCCAAGTTGGGTTCTGCAACGCCGTCCATTGAAGAGCCTTCATCTAGCGGTACGAAAGCCAAGGGGCCAGCTGTTCGTGCACCAAGAGCAAATCGTTCTACAAAGTCGCGATCCGCGACACCGTCCGTCGATGACGCCAGTGACAAAAAGCTCAAAACTGAAGCAGCCATTGAAAAGCCGTCAACCAGCTCTACCAATACCAAAAAGGCTAAGACCTCAAGTAACGAGGAAGTTCCAATGAACAGATCAGGCGCGAGTAAGTTATATTCTTATTGGTTTTGTATTGCCAAATTTAACAATCTTACATTGCAGCCACTACGAGATTCAGCCAGCCAGATCCGGATTCACTTAAAGGTACTTGCGCTCACCAAGAAATTTAAAATCTTTCTAACTTGTAATATATTGTTTCCGTTAGCATTTAATCAATATGTGAGAAAGGCCAAAACGGATGGAAAAATTAAGATAGCATTCACCATGTGTAACCGTCCGGCATTGGAATCTGTCTTAAAATCTTTGAAACATGTGGTGGAAATCACCGAAGATCCCGTCCAGTGCGACCTTCTCATCATGGACAAAGGCGAGCGGACCTACAAATTCCTCATAGCCATCGCTTCCAATAAACCCGTTCTCTCCACCAATTGGCTGCATTCCGTCAAGAAGACCAGGACCATCGAAGTAAAAGCAGATCATATTTTTAGTGATGCCAAGTTCGAGGAGACCATGAAGTTTAAGCCCTTGTCTGTACTGCAGCACACTCGTTTGCTAAGTGGTTTGCACTTTATGCTCGGTGAAGACATCATTCCAAAGCCCATCGAATTGAAAGGCAAGTCTTTCTGAGTATAATTTCTACCAATTTGTTGTGTAACTCTTTTTAATCTCCCCCAGTCATAATTCAAAGTGCCGGCGGAAAGGTGCTCACCCAACCGCCCTCGCTGGCCTTCAGTGTGGAGCTGTACGTGGTCACCACCAGCAAGGACCAAAAATTCCATCGACGCCTGCGGAACCACGAAAAAGTACATTTCATCAAAACCGAGGGCGTTATGCAGGCGCTTGTACGGCACAATGCGGAACTCCTGAACGAGCACAAGCTCAAAGTTTAAATGCCATATTTTGACATTGATCCTAACTTTTTCCTGCCAAACTTCGGAGCCGTTCCTGATTACCTACGAAAAAAAGCACATCACTAACAATGTCCCAGACTAGCATACTATCAAGCTTTAACTTTAGGTTTTTGTTTCATATTTAATTTTTTGTTTCATGTTGGGGCTAACTTAATTGTGGCCATACAATTTGAGTTGTACAAATGGTTGCCTTCATATGGCCCGTCAAATATATCCATACGATTATGCTTAAAATTGTGGGTCTACGTAAAACTACTCCATCTTTTTTCGCTTCGAGCCCGTGGGCTTGTCGAACTGCTGCCTCATGCCGCCGCCGCGTTCGTTGTGGAACTTGATGTTGCTGGAGGATTCGGCGTACCAGGGCGAGTCAAACTTGGTGGTGTCCTGGTCTACTAAATGCGTGTATTTGGTGCGCCCGCAACGGCCGAAGTTCTTCACCTGCATCACCTTAGGCAGGATGGTCTTGTCGAAGTGATCCTCTAGCGTGGCCTGGGCAAAGTCGCGCTTCAGCACATCGTTCTCCTCGTCCAAGTAGAAGGCGCCGCGGTGGTAGTACTTCTGCAGGAACTTGTACTTGCCCTTGGTGGCCTTGTTGGTGACCAGCTTGGGGTTCTGGCGCAGTTCCTGTCGTCGCTCCTCCTCGGTCATGTTACGCATGCGATCGATGTCCAGCTTTTCGCGTTCGTTGCTGTAAGATAGGGGAAGAATTAAATGCGGGTTCCAAAGATAGTAGAAGTTAACTTACTTATCCCGCTCCTCGCGATCCCGCTTCATCCTCTTGAGTTCGCGCAGCTTCCAGGCCTCGTACTCCACCTCTAATTTATCATTCTTTTCCTGAAACTGGGTGGCCAAGTGGACAGCCTGGGACAACTCGTGCTGCAGGGCATCAATCTTGGTGTGAGATTCGCTTCTGTCCGTCTCCAGCCGGTGGAGAGCATTACGAAGTTGCTGAACCTCGTAGTTGAGGCTCTGGGCTGTTTGCTCAGCTCCACTGAGGGCTGCATCCTTGGAACGATCTACCTCGATGGCCACTGATATGCGCTGCTGGTACTCCAACAGTTGGGATTGCAGGGTGTGAACAGTTTTCTCTAGATGCTGTCTCCTCAGTTGTTCCTCTTTCAGGGAAGGACTGCACAAGAGTTGGTTGGGAGAATTGTTGTCCAGGACAGTTCTCGACATGCTACTCTTGCCCCAGAGTTCACTCAGGCTGATAAGCTTGTTGTCGTTCAAGCTGTTGCGTGCGCCTCTCACTACTTCCTTCACTGAAGCAGCGCCGGAGGACGAGGAAGCCAGTCGCATGCTAGGCAAGGATGTGGCCGCCGGATGACCCTCTTGCACCACCCGCTCGTTCCGCAGATGGTCATCGCTATGGTGATGCAGGTGATGATCCTGCCTCTGCCAGCGATGTGCATTGTTGTCGTCCAGGTAGTGATCAATCTCCAGGAGTATGTTATCCTCTAAGGGTCGGTGGCGAAGAGGCTCCACAGATCCACTTTTTGGAGTGGAGTGCACCATGCCATGGAGCTCCCTGTTTGGCCGTCCTGCTGCATTTCTCACGGTATTCGTGGATATGGTGGATATATCCGATGGTGGCTCAAATCCTCGATCATCCTCCGCATCCAGTCCGATGTTCTGCAACCGTGCATTTATGTTATTGAGCTCCGATTTCTTGCTGGGATGCAGGAACTGGTACGCCGCACTTGTGGGCGCGGGGGGCGGGGGCATGGCCAGTGCATCGGCCGCTGCGCCTGCGCCTGAGCTCATCTTCACCTCCGAATAGTAATTGGGCGGTATGAGCAGCAACAGATCGGTGTCGTCCGTGTCCGTATCGCTCATTCCTCACGCATGTCGAGCCAGCTCGAGTCAAAACGCACCGGTTTGCAGTAAAATACGGATAACAGATGCAATTGGTTGGTTGCTATAGTGATAACACGACGCGTAAACATTGCAACAGGGCTGTCGAGTTTTGGTGATAATGCACGACTATCGTATACAAAAAATAAGATACATATCGAATACAGCGAGCCCTTAAGATATTTTTAAGAGTATACGACAATTTATTTTGGTTTTTAATATTAAGAGGCCATACTAAACAAATTTTATTTTATTACAGTTTTAATTAAGTATCAAATGTAACTATACTATATTTGCAAAACTACATTTCACTTCACTTAACCTTAGAAAGAAATTATTTTGTATAATTTTAAAACCGTTTTTTCTAATGTAACAAATAAATTCAGATTTACTATTTCTGTTTATACCGTTGCAATCAGCTACCATTTTAAAAATTATAATTTAACTTATAAACAATACGATTGTCTTTTTCAAGCATCTGACCAAATTTATAATACCCTCAGTAAGGGTATAACATACATTTCTTGTCAGTTTGCCGTGAGCTGACCACCATGATTCAATTATTTTGACATATCGGTTATCGATTGTCGCTTGGGCGCCCTGTAATCGATTAATGTGACCGTGAAAGGACTCTGTTAACCAGATTTTTTGTTTGAAGCAAGTGTTTTTCTATTAATTTTCCCGCCAGGGACGCTTCAGGATGGCATATGTAAGCTTGATTGTCTGCGGGTCACCGGCGGTACACCTGGAACCAGATATAATCTACAGGATTGGGCGGAAAAAGGGTCTGGAAATCAGCATCGCCGATGAGGTGAGCGACATAAGGCTTTAAATACACTTTAGGGCTTTAAATAACTCGCGCTTCAATTGCACAGTCCATGGAACTGGCCCATGCCACCGCCTGCATCCTCCGCCGCGGAGTTGTGCGCCTGGCCGCCATGGTTGGCAGTATATTCGTCAACGACCAGGAGAAGACTGTGGCGGACATCAGCAAGGCGGAAGCCTTCGACGGCACGGTTAAGCTCCGGTTTGGAAATGTGGAGGCCAGGCTGGAAATCAGAGACGAGAACGATGAGGTGAGCAGTGCACAAAACATCCATCCTAAACAAGGATCACATACTCCATTTAAACTAAATACAATGCTAATATATTTTTTCAGGCCCATGACAGCAGCGGATTTGGGGAATGCCCGAAAGACAGGTCAAACAACTCCACAATGGACAGCTTCAATATACCTGAAACGCAGCCTCCGTCCGCCAACACGTCAGCAAACACCTCGGCGGACAGCTTCTTTATACCTGAGACCCAGGCGGTTAACTTTGAAAGACCGTCGACCAGTGGAAAAGTGTCGCTGGGCGATGACTTTATGATACCTGAAACGCAGGATCTGCTGGCCGAACTTCCATCTGTGCAGTTCAATGATCCAGTGATTAACCACAAAGAGTTGAGTAATGATGCGGACTTCTCCCAGGGCAGCGAGATACGGATTTGCACTCAGGACTTCAACGAGGATGCCATCGATGACTTTGATTCATCGCAGATCCTTTGTGATGCTATGCTTGATCTGCCGCTACCAAGGCCAATAGAAACTTTGGAGAAAAAAGATAGTAAGCGGGGTAGGTACAGCCCTTGCAAACGGGAAACTTTCAATCCTAATTAAATACTTTGAATTATTTAGATCAACTAAATGCCACCGACTTGGAAATGAGTGCCTTGAATTGGTCAGCCAGCAATTCGAAATCCTGTGCCCTAAGTAGCACCGCAATCCTGCCAAGCGGTGATGCCTGCATAACTCCTGAACTGTCAGCTCCCTCCGAAGATCGTCCGATCTGCACCCCTGATCTTTTCGATTTGATCTTGGGCAATGAGCCGCGTTCAGGCTCCAATAGTCCAGATCCTTTCGTCCGTCCTTCAAACGTAGCAAATACCACCACACCACAGTTTGGTGGCGTTAAACAGCTGGTTGTGGCCACCATTGAGACTCCTACTGCAACTCCCGACAAAGAGGATGCAGCCAGCAGTCAAGAAATGAATCAAGATTCGATAGTCACTCAACGATTTCCGGAAAATAAATTGTTGGAAAGTGAGAGCGAAGACGAAGATGTACCGAATCAAGATTTTGTGGCAACCCAGGCTTTTAAATTGGGACGCCCCCAACAAGACAAAGTTCCTAATTCACCAAAAGATAACGAAACCAACCAAGACTTCATAGCTACTCAGGCGTTTAATTTTAGACGTCCACAACCACCCGACTCTCCTAAGGCACCGAAAGCTAATACGAATTGCAACCAAGATTTCATAGCCACTCAAGCGTTTCCCGCCAATATTAATAGCTCTAGGTGTCAGGACTTTATAGAAACACAACAATTTAATCCGGGTAATCAGAATTCCTTGAGTTTTGGTAACAAAGAAAATATTCCACACGACAACAATACCGAAAAAGCTGCAGGTAATAACAACAGTTAATATCTTGTATTACGGACATGACATTATCCTTTTCAGGTTCAAAATCCGTCGAGGAGCCTTGTGATGAAATAGATGCTGTGCTCAACGAAATGATTTCTGGGACAATCGTAACATCACCTGTAAATCCTAACGAAGAGCCGATAAAATTCTTTAAGCCGTGCGTGATTAAAGATAAGAATCACTTTCAAAAGGTAATTTTAAGATATCCTAGGTCCATTAGCTATAAAGAACAATATTCTACTTTAAAGGTTTGTCAAATCGAGGGGGTTTTCGGTGACATTAGTAACAAAAGACGGTGGCGCTCTGAGGGCACTAGAGATGGCAGTCGCAAACGCGTAGCCAGATCGGAATCTCCCCCGGAAACACGTATGTCCTTTATAACTTATAAATACATAAATCGGAGAAGTATTAAAAAACCATTTATTTCACAGCAAGCCGAAAAAATAGACGAACATCAGAGGGTTCTCAGGGATTGGAATATAACTTGAGAAAGCGGAGAGCAACTTCAGTGGATAAAAAATCAGAACGTAAGTGGTTGGAGAATCCATGAAATCTATACTTATGTAAAAATTTCCAGCTCTCAACAAATTTATTTGCAAAGAACATGATGTATCCCCGCATACAGAAGAAAAAGATAAGGATGATAAAATAAACTCTCCTTTCAAAGTGATGGCCAATAAATGGCAAGCACGTAGAAGTATAATAAATAACCGATCCGGTACTCCAGGAAACTCTTTAGAAACGAATAAAGTTGAAGATGAGATGCAGGCTAAATCTAAAGATGAGCTATCCGCAACCCCGTCCATTCAAGAGCCTTCATCTAGCGGTGCCAATGCCAAGGAACCATCTGTTCGTGCACCAAGAGCAACTCGTGCTACAAAGTCGCGATCCACAACACCTTCTGTCGATGATCT